AGCTCTGCAAGATCCGCTCGGGCATTCATTTTACGCAATTCCGGCGCCGGAGTCGCTGACACTCCAAACTTGCTTTGTCGGACATGTGGCCCGCAGGAGCCTCATCATTTTAGCTTGCATGAATTGCAGCCAGGCATGTTGACAAACACGCTGCGGCTCCTGGATTCACTCATCAGGGGACCTAACATCATGCGCAACACGCCAAGCGGTCACTTTGCAGGCCCGACAGCCTGCAAAAGCCTCATTATCTAATTTTGCATTTCTTGACATGACCCCTCTACGCAGAAGGGGCGAAGGGCTCCCCATAAAAGACACGCAGGCAGCATATTCGTAGCGTCGTTTGCCTTCTGAGGCCAACATCATTGGGAACCTTGCCCTCTGCGCTGGGCAGCGAATTCCCAACATGCACCAAAAAACACCGCGCAGCAAGGACTGACAAAAGAAGCGCTGCGGCTCCAGCACTAAGCTGGCGCGCGCGGTGTTAAGCAGCTGGGATTCGGCGGCACGCACCACATGCCCAGCTGGTTCTTGAATCACTTGTCTTCTGTGGTCCGCAGGCGTCGGGCGTGCTGCTGCTTCTTCTGCTCGAAGAACTCGAACTTTCGGATCTCTGACACCAGTGGGATCACTTTTCCAGGATTCGTGGATGCCTGGTACTGGTATGCTGGAAATCCGAACAGGCTAGAATGAATGTGAGCTCACCCTCCCAAACTAGCAGCAGTGCACGGGCCCCCGCGGTGAGGACGCTGGCCTCCAAAAACCTGGTGCCTGGCAACCCCATTAAGCAGGGTTTCGGGAGGCTTCGTGCTGATGCAAAAAGGCGTGTGAGAAAAAAAAGGGGGGAGACCCATGCAGTGGAAAAAGGTGCGCAAAAGGAGAGAAAAAGAGAAAAAACAAAAAGCAGCAACAAAAACAAACTTTTGCCAGCGCCCGATGCCGTCTTGTTGTGCTTGGGGTTGAGGTCGGGGGCTGTTGGGGGTCAGAAGCCGCCAGTTTTCTCCGTCTCCTTGCACGTGCCCGAGCCCGGGCTGCGCCTGAGGCTCTTCGCCTTACCCTTCGAAGTGCTTATGTGCCAGTTGTGCGCTGCAGCTTCGCTTAGCCTTTGCCTCACTTCGGCTTGAGCAACCTTGATGGGCCTTGCCCAGACTTGAGCGACTTTCTCGCTGTATGCCCTGCTTCCCCTGAAGCTTCGCGGCTGCTGGCCCGGTGGCAGCCGTGTGCACGCAAGGGCGCTGCCCTCCGAAAAAAAGCACAGCGTGTCTGTGAGGAAGCTGGCCTCCGCAAAAACAGCTTGCAAAAGTCCTAGTGTCCGCGGCTCCCCCTTAAGCGTTCGTCTCCGCATATTGCGCGACTGGCTCGAGGAGAAGCACACATGAGCAGGAGCAGCCACGCTGCGGCAGCCCTTCGCCGCTTGGCCAACGAGCCTGCCAGCTTGGCACGCCGTTTGGCGTTCCTACCGGCAACCATGAAAGGCCTTGGCGCAACGCGTCGGCTGATTGGGCCGGGTGCTTTTTGCATACCCACTTTCGCAAGCGTGCCTTACCAGCCCAGATTGCCAAGCGATGCTTCGCTCCCAGGCGCAGCCTCACGCGGGCACTGCCATCCTCAGTGATGAGGCAACCTCGCTCTCGCCAAGCCGCATGCTGGTCACCCTGCACCCTTGCGCCAAGGTGGAGAGCGTCAGCTCTGAGGGTCAGGTTGACACCATCGTCGCTCCCACGCGACGGCAGCTGTCAGCACGAAATCAACTCCGAGCACAACAAAGCTCGGAGTAGGTTGCTTCTTTGGCGCGCGAAGGGCAGAGGCTCTTGAGAACCTTAATGGATGGGCCCGCGGCCCCCTCCTGAATGTCGACGGACGTGGAAAACAAACACAAAAACAAGCAGTCAGGAATCCTTAATTCGAGGCCTGTGGCAAGTACAGGAAGAAGAAAGTGAAGAAGAGCAGCAGGCAGGAGAAGTACAATGCAAGTCGCGGAGGGCACTAAGCCGGAATGGTTCCGCCGGAATGGTACGCTTTTGGCCCAAGTTTCAAAATAGCAAATTCTTCGTTTTGTTTGGAACCCCCCCTGCCATGCCTCATGCTCCTGTGCGCCGGCCGTTATGGACCACAGCTCCACCGCCTTGCGGCAGCTGCCGCTGCGCCGTTGCGATCGTGGTGCACTACTGGAGTGCGACCTGTGGGGGCCTACGGGGACACAATGTTGGAGATCGCGTGTACCAAGTGGCCATGCCACCGTTGCGAGACGCAGCAAGGGGTTCAGATTCCCTTGGATTTATGTCTTGTGGACGTGCCAAGTACCAAAGCCCCTATTCAACTCGTCAGTCCAAGTTTTTTTGTTGCCGCCCAACAGATTGTCGGCCAACAGGCGCCCAAAGTAAGACTCGCTTCACCCAACGTGAGTTTGGTGTGAAAACAAAATTTGCCAGCTTCCAATATTGAGCCAGCGCCCTTTCACACCAGACTTGCATTTTTGAATGTCGCATCATGCAAAGAACTCGAGCGTTCCACGGCCCCAGAATCTCATGCCAAGGTTGGTCCCACTGGACCGATTGCACATCCAGCGTGCAAAGTTCAGCTGTGTAAGGCGCCGGTGACCGGCTGCAAACAAAGCAATTGGGGTGATGATGGCAAAGTACCGCAACCTCGCATTGATAGAAGTTAGTTTGTCGCATAGAATCCACCGTTGGCCAAGAAAACCCGCCATGATGCCTGAACGCGAACCTCCGCGTCGCGGTGTTGTCCGCAGTCAACCAGCAGCCCAGCTATTTGTGACTGGCATTCCTCGGCAATATTAGAGCCAAAGTACCGCTCCGTAGGAATGCGTCGGTGGCTGCGCTTCTGTAGTGGAAGCGTTAAGAATCAGCCCCACGGTCGCTAGGGCATCCACGAGCTCCGAAACAAAAAAATCAGCTTCGTGTCGGGAATTTGCGAACAAAAGCAAATCATCTGCAAACCTTATATCCAACAGGTTGGCAAGGCCGTCCCCAAAATTCAAACCACACGGCGACAATGGCACGCCATGAGCGCGTGGTCATTTGTAGCACGCAAATGAAGAGCCAGGGGCTGAGCACGCAGCCTTGTCGCACACCAGCCTGTCACCAAGATCGCATGCCAATGCCATCGCAGTTTGGACCCTCTTGGCTCTTTGCGACCTCGTGCAGCGTGTTCAGCACGTAGTTCTGCGGAGCTGTGGGTGCGCCCTCGAGCAAGCCGCTGCTCGGGCCTGCCGTGAAGTCGGCGCACAGGTGGTCGTCCTCCGTCCGCCTCCTTGCTCGAGCTCGGGCGCGTGAGGCCCCCCTTCCCTTTCACGGCTGCTGCATTCGTTGCTCGCTGGTCAGCGTTCCTGTCCTTCCAGGATCAGCTGTCCTTCGCCGTCGTGTTTCACTCCTTGACGCAAAAAGGTGCGAGAAAAACAAAGTGTCAGGGTGCTTTGGACAAGCAACTCGCATAGCGGCAAGCTGAGGTCTGGCGCAGTCGGAATCTGCAGCGCGCACGCAGCCCCAACTGCTCCTGGCCGCTGCAGCACGCGCGTTCGCATGCCGTTGGACGGGCGTCCTTTGCACGCTCGGGCGGCGAGCCTCGTCGGCTTGCCGCTCCGCAGCACTGACGCTGCCGACGGCGACCCGCCTCCTCCCCCAAATGCCAATTAAGTCCTTACCGGCTGGACCACCGTTGCCAGGGTTGGTACCTTGGGTCAGGTCGCGGACACGCGCTGGGTGCATGTGGAGCGCCCAGTCGCTTGCCCGCGGCGCCCAGTACGGGGGTTTTGGGTCACGAAGAAACCTGCACAAAGGCTGCTTGACAAGCTAGGATGCTGCTCGTATGTGGCGTGGGGCCTCTGTGCAAGTAACGTTTCTTTTTCCGCACACGCCTTTTTCAGACAGCTCCATTACTCGAAGTTGCGTCACTCAACTTTACCTACCTTTTTTCTTCGAAGTTACCTGAACCACAGCCGTTGGCAAGAGAAGCACTTACATTTTTTACTCGATGTTGGACCTTTCGTTTACTACAGGTGACCCCCTTCTTTTGACGATGCGGGTTGTCTCGGTTACGCTGTGTGTCTTCTTCGTTGCCGTGGCTTCAGTCTTCCTGCGCAAGGCCCGCTGCAGATGGCTGCTTCTTCCTCCCAGTCCCTTTCCCTTTCGTCGCCTGCTTCTTCGTCTTGCTGCTGTTTACGATTGTCCTCGTTTTCCTCTTCCTGTTCTTGCTCGTAGCCCTTCTTCCTCTTCTGCCGTCTTCGCTTCTTTGTTGGGCTTCCCTTTCTTGGTTCCTGCTCGTTTTGCGCTGTTCAGGGTTGGTGGTGGTGTGGCGCCCAAGGGCTCTGCCGTGTTTTTGGTTTCTTGGTTACGGGTGTGCCCGCAGTGACCCATCTTTGGGCCGGCTTGTATTGTTTCATGTTTGTTGGGGCCTTGCTCGAACCGGGGCGTGTGTGCAAAGAGGCCGGGTTTACCCAGGGACCAACTTGGTGTGCAGGAGGCACGGCGATGCTGGGTGCAGTATCTTGTGCCTGCCATTTGTGACTCCAAAAGTCCTTTTTATCCCCCCCTGAAGTCTCCCTGTTCAAGGGGCTAAAGGGAACTGCACTGAGTCGAAAATTCGACCACGATGACCCAAGTACCACTTGAATTTACCAACCTTCCTCCTGTGGGAGTTTTAGTGTGTGGGTGTGCAAATTGCTGCCAGTGCTGATAAGGTTTTGAAACGACGCAGCCAGGGTGCTAAGTCAGGATGCTGTTTGGGGCGACTGGCGCGGGTTGTGCTTAAGCTGGTTCCAGATTAGACACGGACTTGCTGCTGGTTGCACCACAGACAAACTCTCCGGCTTTCGGCGTCGTAATGGTGCGGAATCCAAACGCAACATTGTTTGACACTCGTGAACGACAAGTTTTTTGCTTCAGCAGCCTGGGCACAAGATGCAGTGGACCAGTTGCTTGCAACATGTTTTCTAAAAAAATAGGAAGGACACGGGCATATCAGTGAGTATGTGTGTTTGGCACGGCTCAAGTTGGAGGAGTTGCACGGCCAGGCCGATCTGCAAGAGCAGAATGTTGGGAAGGTTTTCAGATGACGCCGTTTGGCCATCACGAGCTGGAGTATTTGGTGGGCCTTGCACCCTTGGTCTTTGGTATGGTCGCGATGCTCGTCTGCATGCTTTGCGTCTTGCTGAGGGATCATGCATGGTACTTTCTATCTGTGAACGTGGAACTAGGGGCTCCCGAAAACTCCATCTCTGGTTCCGTTTTCTCTTTGTGGACAAATGGGTGAATGGAATGTGGGATTCTTGCCCACCTTTGCAAGCATGTTGTGTTGCGAGGATGCCGACCATGGAAGAAGCCTTTACGCACAGGCTATCATTTCAGAGGCAAGTCCTTGTAGCGCCTGCTGATGCGCTGCCCACGCTCCGCCGCTGCGTGCTGACAAAATCAACTCTGGAACAAGGCGAATGGTGGCGCCTTTTCACTTACATGTTTGTCCACAGAGATTGGGAACATGTTTGGACGAACATCGGAGGACTGCTGTGTAATGGTTTTGCAGCATTTACGCAGTTCGGCCACATATCTACCTATGGAGTCTTTTTGTTGAGTGGACTGCTGGCTGGCACAAACTCCTGGGGGCGTGCTTACCAGACAAAGGCGCAGCTTCAAGCAAGCGTAGCAGACCTTCCACAATCCTTTGGCCCGGTGCGTGTGCCAAATTTGCTGCGGGAATGTTGGGCTTCCACCAAGCAAGCCACTGCCAATTGGACCGCTCCCAGATTGAGCGGGCGGACGGACATCTACGGAGCCTCAGGAGGGGTGTGTGGCCCGGTTGACCAGTGGAGTTGTTTTGGGAAGGGTTTCTTCAGTTTCTTCCCTGTAAATGGGTCAGCCATCAGACAAGAATAGCCCAGTGTCTTTTTTTTTGCTGTCGGAAATCCACTGGGCTTAGGTGGGCTCATGGGCTTTAACTTGGGCTTATGGGCCCATCGTGTTTGGCGCCACCTGCGCGCCGATGCGGAGAGCTTCCAGCTGCGAAATGTGGCGCCGTCGCCGGGAAGCCCGGGCTTCGGGTTTGGGACAGTTCCATCACCATAATCTGCTTTTTGGCTTGAAGGGGGGGACAGGGTGCATAGGGCCAGTAGGGCCTCAAGAAAGCTACTCCCAGTTTCAAAGAGGTTCGCCACGCTTGCGACTGCGCTGCAGTCCGCCTCCTTCCTTGCCCAGGCCAAGCATTTGCTCTTGGCAGGGCCATTGCGCAAGTTGATTTTCGCTGGGAGGAGTGGAGGTCCTTGCACGGTGATGCTGGCTTCACTGGGGTGGACCACGCAGGACATTTGACAGGAGCGAATGCGTGTCAGAACTTATCACAATGATGTCGTTGCCTGTAGTGTTGGAATGCGCGCCAGGCTTCGCGGTTGGTCTGGACACTTGGCTTTGCATAGCACTTTGTCCCCTCATCCATGTGGCCTGCTTAAACTTCAAAGCTGACATCATGCAAAGCTGCGGAGTGCTTGGTGTGATGCATCTGCATTTGCGAGGTCTGTGCCGTTGCAGCTGTAGTACTACAGGACGACACGTCGTAAAGGGGCGCAGTCAGCTGAAGCATTTGGACGCTCAAGCTTGCAGTGGTTGGCATGCTGCGCATGACCTTGGTGACGTTTTCCCTCTTGAACTCGGTGCATTGGTTACTGGATGGCAGGGGGAAGCTCAATTGGTCTGAGACGGGCCCTGGATTTAACTCACCCATGTTTGCATGCGTGAGTTGTTTTTTCTCAAGCCCGGGCCTTCGTAGATTGGCAGCATGGCGCAGGCATGCTTACGCGCTGAGTGGGAAGCTACTCAGGGAGAAGTTTGCGGGTTAGCAAGCCATGGAGAAAGGAACAGGGCAGAGACAGCGGCAACACAAGCATCGAGAGTTTCCAACCGGAAAGTGGACCGCAAGTCGCTCTGCCTGGACTCCCAGCGGACCACCAGCTGGATCAGCAAAGAGGTGCAACCATTGGCAATGATTTCCGCAGACGCCACGGCGCATGCAGCACCAAACGGCATCATGACCCGCAAGCGCCAGCGGGCGTTGAGAGCAGCCTCCGATCTGGCCCCAGGAAGCTGCACTGACTTGGAGACGGAGACGGAAGGAAGCAACAACCCAGTGGCAAGTCAGGCTGCAGACGGTTGCCAAGACAGCCAGGTTCAAAGTCTGATTCCCAAACACAGGCCGAGGGGCCCGCCGAGGGGTGCATCCATGACAGCAGCTGCAGCAACAGATCCAGTGCAGCCCACCTTGGTGGTGGATGCTGCAGCACATGCTGAACTCCCCCCAAGCGGCGGCAACGTGCGTGCCGCTGATGCCCGCAAACGCCAACGGGTGTTGAGAGCAGCCTCTGACCTAGCCCCAGGAAGTCGTACCGATCTGGAGACGGAGACTGAGGGAAGCGACAACCCAGGGGCAAGTCAGACTGCAGATCGCCAAATTGATAGCCAAGTTCAAAGTCTCAGTCACCCAAATGTGACTAGGGCGACATCCATGACAACAGCGGCAGGTCCAGCCCAGCTTGCCGACGGCAGATTAGACTCGCTATCGGCTGCTGTGTTGAGCGGGCAGGCAGAGGGCACATCCACTTTGGTGGTGGATGCGGCTGCTCCTGCTGCCCCAAGCGGCAATGCTGGCAACATGCATGCCACTGACGCCCGCAAGCGCCAGCGGGTGTTGAGAGCAGCCTCGGACTTAGCCCCAGGAAGTGATACCGAAGTGGAGACGGAGACGGAAGGAAGTAACAATCCAGTGGCAAGTCAGGCTGCAGACTGTTGCCAAGACAGCCAGGTTCAAAGTCTGAGTGCCCCGCACATGGCGAGGGCGTCATCCGTGACAGCAGCTGCAGCGACAGATCCAGTGCAGCCTACTTTAGTGGTGGATGCTGCAGCACATGCTGCAGTACCGCCCCCCGGCAACGTGCGTGCCACTGATTCTCGCAAGCGCCAACGGGCGTTGAGAGCAGCCTCTGATTTGGCCCCCGGAAGTTGTACTGACGTGGAGATGGGCGTGGAAGGGAGCAACAGCCTCGTGGCAAGTCAGGCTGCAGACTGTCGTCAAGACAGCCAGCGACAAAGTCTGAGTGCCCCGAACATGGCGAGGGCGGCATCCATGACAGCAGCTGCAGCGACAGATCCAGTGCAGCCTACTTTGGTGGCGGATGCTGCAGCACATGCTGCAGTACCGCCCCCCGGCAACGTGCGTCCCACTGATTCTCGCAAGCGCCAGCGGGCGTTGAGAGCAGCCTCTGATTTGGCCCCAGGAAGTTGTACTGACGTGGAGATGGGCGTGGAAGGGAGCAACAGCCTAGTGGCAAGTCAGGCTGCAGACTGTCGTCAAGACAGCCAGCAACAAAGTCTGAGTACCCCGAACATGGCGAGGGTGGCATCGACAGCAGCTGCAGGGACTGATCCAGTCCAGCCCACTTTGGTGGTACTCAGGAAGGAGGAAAGCAACAGCCCAGTGGCAAGTCAGGCTGCACGCGGTCGTCAGAACAGCCAGGAAAAAAGATTGGGTGGGGCGGCATCCATGACCGCAGCTGCAGCGACAGATGCAGTCCAGCCCACTTTGGTGGTGAAGGCAGTACTCCGGACGGAGGAAAGCAACAACTCAGTAGCAAGTCAGGCTGCAGGCGGTCGTCAGGACAGCCAGGCAAAGAGTTTGAGTGGGGCGGCATCCATGACAGCAGCTGCAGCGACACTCCAGCCCACTTTGGTGGTGGATGCCACAGCACATGCTGCAGTAAGTCAGGCTGCATTCGGTCGTCAAGGCAGCCAGGTACAAAGTTTGATTGCTCCGCACATGGCGAGGGTGGCATCCATGACAGAAGCCGCAGCAACAGATCCAGTCCAACTTGCCGACAGCAGATTGGATTTGCAAGCGAATGCTGTGTCGAGTGGGCAAGCAGAGGGCACGCCAACTTTGGTGGATGCCGCTGCACATGCCTCAATTACTGCGGCCCGATCAGAAGTGCCTGCAGCCAATGCGAGCGCAAGTGCTATGGCAAACATTCCTCCGATCCTGTCTTTGGCCGAGCAGCTAGTGCTTTCTCAATGCGTGAGTGAACCTGGTGAGGGGCCAACCTTGCCAGGTGACCCAGACATGGCTTCTGGCGGCTCGCCCGCGCGCAGCCCCATGCCCAAGGCCAAGGCTCGACGGCTGGTGGGCAAGCAGCCGCCGGAAAGCCGCGCGGGGTGCCTCCGCTCGGGGTCCGCCATCTTGCGGGAGCGGATCGGCCACATCTTGCAGCCCCGGGAGCGCGGCTTCCTGGTGCGGGTCCATGGCGACGGTTGGGGCAGCGCAGGCGGCGCAGGCGGCGCAGGCTTCTTAGCCACGGTCACCGAGGCAGACGCGCTCACCTTCACGGTGATCCGGCGCCCGGGTGGCGACACGCGCGCCTGGGAGGAGACGCACGTGCTGAGGCGTTACTGCACTGTGGTTGCGCGAAGCGCTTCCCAGGAGTGTAACGCATTGAAAGGTTGGGGGTCTTGAAGTGCCCTTCTAGAACAGAAGGTTGATGAGGTGCGGGCCTAAACTTGAGGCTTTGCCTACGCACTCCTGTACAGAAAGGGACAGGCGCAGCGTCTGAAAGCCCTTGTGCAGTTACAACATTTGCTTTCCATGCCATGCATGAAGATGTGCAAGATCCCAAAACAAGTGTGCATGCACCTGTGCATTGCATGGCTTGCTGCATGTTCACAGTATGCACACAAGGCATGCCTTCGGCCCGACGGCCTGCCAGGGATCTTTGGCTTTGCCAAATCTGTTCTGGGCCTGGCGCCATGTCCGGCGTGTTCGGTTTGGGGGGCGTAGCGCCGAAGCTCGGGGCCGGTGTATGGATTGCCCCCGGGGCGTGTGTCATCGGAGACGTCACCCTGGAGGAAGGGGCCAGCGTGTGGTTCAACTGCGTGCTGCGTGGGGATGATGCGCAAATTCAGGTGGGAGCCAGGACTGGGGTTAAGCCAGCCAGCTCGTGTCCAAGCCAAGGTGGTAAAACCGTCCTCATTGGGTTTGGAAGGGGTCCATTTGGGTTTGTCTCCAAATGGCGGAGCCTCGAAATGGGTGGCTGCCCGTTTGAAAGAACCAAGCAAGAGGCTCCTCCAAAAACGGATTCCAAGTTTTTTTTTGGGGGTTCTGCTCTCACACAAGGTTGGCGGGCACAACTCGCCTGTAAATTATGTCCACCAAGTGGTTCCCAGGTCAAAACCAGAGAAAACATTCGCGTTTTGCCCCGTGGCCAAGGACCAACATCCAGGACCTGACTTTGGTCCACCTGGACAAGGGAATCCCTTGCAGCATCGGACGGAACGTGTCCGTGGGCCACGCCTGCATTCTGCATGGGTGCACGATAGAGGACGATGTTCTGGTGGGCATGGGTGCCACAGTGCTCAACAAAGCTGCTCAGCCTGAGCCTCCGGGTGGAAGCTTGTTCTTCACATTGGTTTCGGCGTTTTGCTTGACGGGGCTTGTCAAAAGATACAAGTTAGGTATTTAAGGCATTACATTTTCACCAGACCAAAGGGAAAACGACAACATTGTGGTGGAGCAATGTTCAGGTGATCTAGAAGCACAGTAAAGGTGATGTTGCGATTGTCCTCGTTGGTTTTAGCGGAAAATTGCCATTTCATTTCTCGAGCCGCGTCTGATTGCGCCCGGGGCCGCGCAGCGACCGCCGCGATGACTTCAGGCGGTGATCGGCCGGGGGAGCATCGTGGGGGCTGGGTCCGTGGTTTTGGAGGGCACCCAAGTGCCGCCCTTCTCGCTGGTGGTGGGCTCGCCGGCCCAGGCCGGGCTGTGCGACATGTGCTGCCGGACCCTGCCAAACACGGGCCCTTCGAAGAGAAAAAGAAACGGAGTTTGCTGAATCAACTATTTTCTCCAAGGTTTTTGGTGGTATCTTTTTGGCTGGTCCAAAGGAAGGTCAAAGGGAACCGTCCATTTTGTAGGTTCCGCGCCACGTTGTGAGACAAACCCTTACAAAGCACGTGGCAGGTTCCCAAACAGGGCGCCAGTGTGCCAAGTGTCTGCGACATTTGGATCGAAATTTCCCGGTTTAGGGTTTGGGGTTGGTGTAGGGCAGGGTTGGTCGAAGGTTATTCCAGGATTTGCTGGATTGCTAGCGGGACGCTTTTCACAGGGTGCATGAGCCTTTCTCCATCCCGAATGAAGCTGGCTGACAGCAAGCTCTGTCAAGAGCCGTTCTGTTTCTAGATGGGGCACCCCAATTGGTCAGGTGAAGAAAACCTACAAAGAGGAGGACCGACTTGCGGCTCAAAGAAAGCATGCGGACGGTTACGTGCAGAAGGCCGCCCGCTTTCGCTCGCAGCTGCAGCCCTCAGCCTTGGGCGGGCTGAGGCTGGCCGGCTTACTCGGGGTGGCGTGCGTGGCGGCCATCTGCGTGTCAAGGCGCTGAGAAAGGGTCGGTTTTTAAACCCTTCCCATGGGAGCGCGACCGGCGGTGTGTTCAGCGGCCCGATGGCAAGGCGGATAGGTCGAAGTTCAGAGCTGCTAGTCCGGGTATTGCAGGCTGGGACTGGAGCAGTGAAACTGCGCGGGCCGAGCAAGCGACGCAGACAAGAATCACTTCCTTTGTCATTCCATGGCAGTGGAAAGACAGCGCGCCCAGTTGAGGCAGTTCCTGCAGCTCGCAGCTGTTCAGCCATTAGCCTCAGAGTGCGATTGTGGCGCAAAGCCGCCGCAGCAGTGCAAAGACGCTGCAGGGAGGGGCGTGCAAACAAAGCCCAGAGACCTGCCCTACATGTCCAGATTGCACGCCAGGCAAAAAAATCTGAAAGATTCTAACCAAAAAAAGGCCATCCAGTCATAATGCTATATCAACTCCGGCGATGTTGAGGCTTTGGTCGGCCCAGTTGGTACCACTTATGGGGTCTCTGGGCCTCGGGGCTTAAAGGATGGCGGGCTTTGGCCTTTGCGAGCTGCCGATTGGGGCTGGGCCGGAGCTGAGGCGGGGCTTGCGCCATGGGCACCGGCTTTTTGTTGTTTGGGCCACAAAAGCCCCAAACATCACAAACACCCCAAACAGAAGCATGTCTCAGGTTTCAGATCCAAGCCAAAGACAGAACGAGAGCCCGAGCTCCTTGAGCTCGTGTGCGGTGCGCGAGGCTCGACTTTGCGGAGACTTCAAGCTCTCGGGGGCTGACAGGTGTCGTCAAAACAGGCGGGGCAGTTCCCAGAGCCCAACGCTCCGATGCGACGCGAGCCAGTCGTGGCTTTGGAGGTCACCGTGAGCCCCATGCAAAGCACGGAGTTTGCGTGGACGGTTTTGGATGCAGTGCCACAGCGCGCAGGATATGGCTCGTTCACCTGCAGTCCAATCCCCCCTTTATAGGTTGCTTGCTGGCCCCCAGCAACCGCGCCCAAAACCGAGAAACCAGAACAGAGGTGTTTGGAGCATGAAGCCACTGTGAGGCAAGGAGTATCCGCCGTTGGATACGGAGGCGGTGTTGGAGGATGGCGAGAGGGTTCAGCTGGTGCACCGGATTGCGGTGGCTCTTGCGAGCCCCGAGGCCTACGAGAAGATGTGCAAGACGGCGCCTTGCCAGATACCCAGCCCGGATCCATGTAGGCTCTAGATTCCATGACCCCCTCAGATAGTTCCGGAAGCCGGCTAAAGGTGGCTGCATTTTTTTGTTGCCAGGTAAAAAGCTTTTTGCATTTCCAACTGTTTCGAACTTTATCTTTGGCCAATGTCGGCCGGTGCAATCCTGGGGTAGAATGTGAGCGGACCAGGTGTTTCGAAAGTTCGCGGAGCCACCTCCAGAGGGCGATGACTTTGACAAGTGTGGGCTGCAGACCCCCATCAGTGACATCTTTGAACACCTGAAGCTGCCATCGGAGCACGTGAGGATGTTCGAGCAAGTGCTGAAGAAAGAGACAGACTTCAAACGAAAGCCCGAGATGCTTTCCTTCCAGCTGTTCCGCCGGGTGCTGATCAAAGTTCTGCGCCGCATTCGGGACCTCTACTGCGTACGGGTCAAGAGAGGCGGCCCCGTTTCGGCCGCAGCTGCCAAACACATGCAGATGCTTTTACCAACCGTTGAGGATCATTTGTGGTGATTTTTGAGGCTCCTCTCTGATGGCCCTCACCAAAATGCCTGGTTGGTGTCATGCTTCCAAAGGGGTTCCGCATACAGGGTTCCCTCTGTTTCCCTTATGGGTAGTTGCTTTGGACCTATTTTGGTAAAAAGTTCACTTCGCAGGTCAGTTCGTGACGGCCAAGAAGAGGTGCCGCGCAAGGGGGAGAGGAGGTCCAAAATTGCCCATCATCCAGCTGAGAGTTTGGAGGTTGGAGACCAAAGCCCCAAGGGTACCACACACGCCTGGTGGCGAAAATTCCTGTCCCCCGAACATGTATGGACTTCGGTCTCAGGGAAAGCGAAGGGCAAGCTGCAGGTCAATCAAGCAAAGACTTTGCATTGCGTTCTGACCAGCCGCCGTACGTTGGGAATCAACAGCAGCTACATGTGAACATCGCGGCCTGGACAGGAAGCTGGAGGATGAGTACGAGCGGGTGGGCGACGCTGGGCGCGGCTGCTTCGGGGAATGCTTCTGGGTGAAGCACAAAAGTTCCGGGTTTCGGAGGGCACCTTGGCTCAAGAAGCCCCATGCACATGTTTTGCCTTGTGTCCGTCGCCTGGTTAGCGACACCGCGCAAGGTTGCCAAGCGGATCCTCAAAAAGCGCGTGGAGGCAAGCAGCGCTTCCCTTGGCATGTTGGCACGGCTTGCGCTGCTGGATGTCCCCCTTGGCAGGGACAACTCTGGTTGTCTGCAAAGTTAGGAGGCAACCGAGCAATGTTGCTGGCAAAGCCTGGCGCTGTCCTGAGCAGGTGCCCAAGGAGGAAGTGGAGGATGAGATCAACTTACTCCGGAAGCTGGATCATCCTCACATCGTTCGGCTCTTCGAGTGGTTTGAGCACCTTGGTCCTGATATGTAGGCAATGGCCTGCGGGAAGGTGTCAGGCCAGCATTTGTAGCATTGAGTTCAGTGCAGCCTCTCGCCCAGGACTGCAGATGACTTCCTGCTCGCCCTGGGCTTATGATTCTTTTGGCATCCGTGAGAGGATGTCTTTCTGTTGGGGCAACTTTTTTGTTGGTGGGTTGGAGATGGCAAGCAAAAGGAACGCAGCCATTTCTACTCCTGTTTCATCCTTCTTCCAGATTCTTGGCGAGATCGACAGGGCGTTTAAACGGCCCTCAGGTCATGGAGGGCGCGCGGGCCGGTGACCTTGGCCGCGCTCTGCAGCGCGCCAAGCAGGCTGAAGGGGTGGGGGGGGGGGATCTTCGTGAGCGCTTGGGTCCCGATCACCGGACGGCCAAAACGACACCACGGCCCCTGCTCTTGCGAGAGCTTCAAAACGGGAGGCGTGGACCTCTGAAATTTTGTCGCTAGGAGGGGAACAAGGGCCTGGATGAGAACACCGTGCGGCTGCTCATGGAGCAAGCCCTGACTGCCCTCGCAGCTCGTCTCAGGTTTTTGGACCTCACAACTGCTGATTCTCAGGAGGGGTTCGACTGCTGGAGGTGTGCCTGAGGGGTGGCCCGATGTTCGCCGCTCTCGGGAGTCTTGAGGTGTACATCCACGCCAACAGGGTCATCCATCGGGACATCAAGCCGGCCAACATGGTCCTGAGTCAGCTGGACCCAGATGTTGTGTTTCAGAATGCAGGCACCTAAAGCCTTCGCAACTCATAAAAGGTCTAGAGGAAGGCACCCATTCAAAAGTTGAAGAGAGTCCCTGTCCTCCACATGCCTGACAAAGGTTTCTGGATTTTGCTCTTTATCCTCACTTTGTAAAGCGATGTTTGGCGAGGACAAGTATCCACCGCACTTGCTTCTGGCTGATTTTGGGATCGCCACTGTTGCTCGGCCTGCACTTTAGCAAAAGGTGGTAGGCGAATAGTTATCAGCGGATGCTTGTGCAACGCATTGGGGCAATGATCTCCCCCAGGTGTTCCAGCCCGATGCCCCCGATGCGTCGCTCGTCCTGCAGCCAGTGCGAAAGGTGTTGCGTCCTGGGGCTTGGGCTGAGACTGGGTGGCTGCAGGCTGCGAGGCCCTATGGGCACCTATCCTTACATGGCGCCGGAGATCTATGACAACAACGTCACTCCCAAAGTCGATGTTTGGGCGCTGGGCATTGCAGCTTGGCAGGGCTCGACAGCTTCGCTGTCTCGCGAGCGCTTGGGCCAAGGTCAGCTACGAGGTGCTGTGTGGACATCGGCCATTTGGCCGCGAACGGTTCGACGTGGAGTATCAGACTCGTCTACAGCCTGCGCCTGTGGATATGACCGCCCTGCATGATGTGGGCATCAGCCAGGCATGCTTTGGGCAGAAACGCTAGGCGATGAAATGAGCATGTCTTTGTGAGCTTGAGCGTGCCTTTGTGGTCTGTTGCCTCAGACCTTTCTGTGCTCTATTGGTGAAGCTAGCTCGTTACTTTGGCCCCCGCTTTGTGGCAGGCAAACATGCACAGAGAGATTCGCTGATTCCTCTAAACACGGAGGTTTTGTTGGGTTCCAGGTGTAGCCCCCCAAAAACGCCCAGCTTTGCCAGGCTGCGGTGAAGTTCATCGGTGACCTGCTGCAGAAGCAGGAGGTCTGGCGGCCCACCTCGGAGGACGCGTTGAAGGACATCGCCAACTGGCTGGAGGTGGCCCAGCCGGATGGGCACGTGGCCTCCATGGTGGGCTTCAGCAAGAAGAGCACCTTCTCCAAGGCGGGGGTTCAAGCGACAGACACGGGGATTGGAAGCAGTCTAACGATGATCGCTCTTTCCAGGTTGTTTCCCTCAGAAGGGTTTCCTTGGGCAGATTTCCAGGAGAGGTGCATGTACCTCCCAAAAAACATGCACGAACGCGCAGCCAGGCGGTGTACATGTGTGCGGCCAGCCAGCTGGATGCGTCCACCCTGGAGGATCTCAATGCCATGTTTCTGAGGCTCGATGCGGACCGAGCCCCGGCCAAGCGGAGCAGACGACGGTGGGGAGGGGTGTGTGCGTGTGGATTTCTCGTGCTTGTGCTGTTTCGAGCCCAGGCAACGGCAGCCTCTCAGTCCTCGAGTTCCGAGAAGGGTTGAGGCAGCGCTGTTGTTTCGCTTGATGCATTGTTGCCAGTGGCGACTGCTACTGAGTGTGCGCTGAATGCAGGCAGGTGATGGAGCCGGAGGCGATTGAGTCTTTAGTGGATGCCCTCGACATGGACCACAGCGGCAGCGTGCCCTCTCCGAAGCCAAAGGTTATGCATTTGTTTCGTTGCCATGCGCCGGACCAGGCTAACTACACAGAGTTCATTGCCGGATGTTTGGATGCTCACTCGGACTTGGTCGAGAGCGCGCTCGCCCATGTCTTCCGCGTGTTCGATGTGAATGGGGATGGCAAGATATCACTCAAAGAGCTGTCCTCTATTTTGACCTCGGACGGTGTTTCCATAGTGCTGCCGGAGGGCAAAACCATCGAGGAGTTCATGAAGGCTGCTGAGTGCAACCGCCAGCCCACAATCGGATTTCTAGAGCATAGAGACATCTGAAATCCGCAGGCGATCGATGTATCCCAAGATGGGTTTATCAGCTTTGAGGAGCTGAAGGGCTTCCTGCAGAAGGAGGCCTGGGATTTTGTGTCAAAGGACGCGCTTTGCGGTGACTCACTGCCATGGGAATCTCAAAGTAGTTGTGATTTCTTGTTGGGTTTCCATGAAAACAGTGGGTGCCCCCATTCCGTGTTCTTTTTTTGTTGGTTTCTCTGTAGCAGGATATGTAACATGACATTATTTTGGCTAAGCGTACTTTCTCGCCTCCATGACTCTTGTGGAATACCATTGAATTCATTTGAGTGCTTCTCTACTTTTACCACTTGTTCACATGTTAGATTACTTACTAGCGTTATTTCTGCATCATGTCCTGAAAGGGCACAGTGCAAAAAAAAACATTTAGAGTGCAGCACTCGGAATCAAGCTTGCATTGGCACAGACTGCTCAACCTCAACGGAGCCTTCAAAATGGGGCACCGACACAAACGCTTCAAGCTGCGTTCCCATTCTGGCAAAACGCGGTGTGAGGCCGATGCTGTGCCCCAAGTGCGGAAGAGAGGCCTTCCGGCTGAGCCAGGCGTCGAAGCGAGATAAATTTGTGAGAGTCGGAGGCAGTTCCACTAGCTGCTTTCTTTTCTTGGGAAATGAAGTGGCGGTTCCCAGTTGCATTCTTTCTCATGAATTGCAGTGAGCGCTGTTTGAATGAGGCACTGAGGCAGGTGGGGAATCGGATGTGACAGCAAGGCGCCGACCCGGCCCAGCGTGGGTCCTTCGTGCAGCCGTTGTCTGGCCCGGGGTATCCTGCTGGCGAGTTCGCGCCGCCTGCTCTGATGGCATCGGGTGGCGACATCACGCGGTTCAGGAGTTTGCGTGGCGGACATGTGGGTGGGGCTAGGGGTTGCAGACAACCATTGTAAGGTTTCCATCTTTGAACGGCTTCGAAGCAGCTTCAGGTCCCAGCTGAAGCGATGCGTGGGGCTGTCAGAGGGCAATGCCGCCCTGCTGCGGGATTTGAACGAGGCTGGGCCAAAGTCGGGTGGTGCGCTTGGTGTGTGCCGCTGGCTTCCAGGCACTGGCTGCGGCACCAAAGGTAGGCAGCCCTGACAAGTCGCCGGGGAAAAAAGGGGAGCTGCAGTGGGGCTGTCGGGACGCCGTAAATGAGCATTGCGAGGATTTGCAGGCACTGATGCATTCATGTGTCGCTTTGCTCGAAAAGCGATGGAGGGCCGAGGGCTTCCGCGTTTGGGAAGCTGAGGGCTCCCGCATGGTGCCATGGAGCGTAGCACCAGCTGCCCGGCCAAGGCCTTCCCACAGCTCCGGGACCCGCGCCGAAAGGGCGGGGAGGATGGGTCGCCGCTGAGCCCTCTGAGCCCTTGCCCGGCGACCGGGGCCAACCTTTGGCAAGTCCTTTTTTCGGAATTGATTCGATGAACAAGGGGGGCAACAGGTTCACAGTCATTTTCCGGGGCAAATCCCAGGTATGTGTCTGAAACCTTACTAGATCCGAGGGTTTGGGGCTTGCTTGGTCTAATTTTTCGGAATGCTTGTTGGACCCGGACTCGACCAAGGCGAGTCCCTTGCGGACGTCGGCGGCCGGGAGCCCCAGCTGGGCCAGCCGGCGCCTGCGCGCCAAGACCCACCGCGATGGCCTGGAGAGCCGCGAGACCGTCTCGCGCGGAGGTCGCGAGGTGCGAGGGCCAGCCGGTGGTTCCCGGTGACTTGGGGGATGTCCTTTTTGGAGGTGGTGCCCTGTTCAAGGGTTGCAAGGAAAAGACCAGGAGCGAACTGGCCAGTTCTTGATGTTGCCCGCATTAGGGCCCCCAAAGCCCAATAATATATGGAATTTGGGTTTGAAGAGCACTAGGGATGGGTCATGTCCTGATAACGATTGAGGTGGGTGGTGGAAGCAAACCCAAAACTACTGTGGCCAACCCATTCAGGTTTCAAACAGGCCGCCAGAACGCCTGAATGTAGTTTTTGTATGAGTAAAAACTAGCAAATTGGTTGGTCTCACATTGGTGTCCTGACAAAGCCTTTTTCATGGTCCCCATGCAGTCAATGGGTCTCAAAAACCCGCTTTGAGACAGAATATTTGTAAGACCACCATTTCTTTTCATTTTTGTTAAAACGATTTGCACCGGGGAGAGCATGAGACACGAGCAAAGCCAGCGCCCCTCTTGCCTTCCTGCGCAGGTGCGGCGGCCCACGTCCAGTTCGCGGCTGGAGCCCCTGGCCAAGGGCGCCCTGCGTCACCAGCGGCCCTGCACATCCCCCCACACCCCGGAGGCCATCTCCAGGAGACCTGCCAAGCTCCTTCCTTTTTTTCTTCGCCGCCAGGTTCGGCCAGGTCGCTTTTGCCGAGTCTTTTTATTTGATTTTGGCACCGACAAGGTGGAGAGAATCCTAGATCTCCCTCCCTCCCCTCCCCTCCCTTGGCTTCTGGCTGAAGGCTTCCTCCGGGTTCTCCAGGCGTTTTCTCCCGGCTCCGGTCCCAGGAGCCCCCGGCCGGGCGCCACGGCCCTGGACTTCGATGCGGCGGAGGCCTTGGGTCGGAAGATCCTGGGGACCAGCTCCTGGGCGACTTGGCGCGGAGCCCTTGAAATCTTGTTTGGACTTTTCGAGTCTTTAGACTTTTGGTGTTTTGGAGCTTTGGAGTTGTTGTTTTGACTGTTGGAGAGATCAACGAGTTTGATGGCATATCCCGCCCAACAAAAACTCATGGGATCCGCGGACCAAGGTGAAGCGGATCTTCGAGGAGTTCGACGGGGCGGCCGGGGCCCTGGGCGCTGACGGGCTGACACAAAGACCTAAATGATGTGAATCAGATGCAGGTTGGTTCTCCTAAACTTGCCATGTAATTGAGTCGCAAGTGTTTGTGGTGGACATACAAGAGAATGGGTCGTTTTGCAATTCGGAGGGCTTTCCCAAAGGTCGCAAGCTTGTTTTGAGGTGACCCTGCTGAGAATCAGCAAGTCAGGGTGTGGACAATTGGGGAGCCAACAGGGGTACTTAAGATCGATCACTTGGAAATAGGCAGATACAGAGCACCAATTACAACATTTGGGTGCGTCATTTTCTGGAGCCCTTCTTAGGGGTCGTTCGAGAGGGAAATCCCAAAGGACCACCACTTTCGCATGTTTTCAATCCCACTTCAAGCAGAAATCCGATTTTTCCCCATCAACGTTTTTAGGCGACGGCCTAAAAACGCGCGTTACGTGTTGGTTTCCTTTCCGTTTCAAACCCGAGGACTGCGGGTACCTTTGGCCCGCCGAGTTCGCGGCGCTGAAATCCCGCTTCGAGGAGGCCATGGGGGGCTTCAGCGCGAGGGCACCCTTCAACTTCGACGACGCCGATGTGAACATGGAGGGCAGCCGCCGGGCGGAAACGCTGTCCGTAGCTCATTCTTTTTTGCTTAGAGGGGGATGCGGGGCATGTTGTTTTCTTTTTTCTTTCGACCTTTCGAAGGGTTTTGCTATTACACCCTGGGATTACGTGCTGGGGGAATTGCCCGAAGTTGTCCGGACTGCAATCAAGTTTCACAATGTGGAAACTGCACTGAATTGCGAGGTTGTCATCCTAGGGTGTCCTAGCACGGAATTCTGGACTCAGGATTCCCTCTTCCCACACAGTGTGCAGCTTCGTAATTTGTGAGCCGCAGTCACAACTGGGAAAGTTGAGGATAGGGCACGTTCCCTATCCCCCTTTGCCCCCTGCCGTGCTGCTTCTCTTAGTTGCTCTTCTCTCCAGTCTTCTCTCTGCTCTTCTCCACTCTGCTTCGCTCTCTCTGCGCGCTTCTCTTCGGCTGATTTTGCAGCTCTGCTTCTTTTCGCTTCCTGCCTTTCTCCCTGCCATTCTGCCTGCTCTTTTTCCTGCTCTTCTTCCTGCTCTTCTTTTTGCTGTTCTTCCTGCCTTTTTTTTGCTGCTTTTCCTGCTCTTCTCCGGATCTTCGGCTTTGTGACCTGCTTGTCTCTTTCCTACTATCTCAGCTCTGCTCTGTCTCCCCGCTCTTCTCCTCGCTTTTCTACTTTCTCCTCCCAACTTATCTGCCTGCTCTTTGCCTCTCTTTGCGTTCTTCTCACTACCTCCCCGCCATCCCCGTAGTCTCTTCTCCTCTACTCTTCCGCCTGTTCACTCCACTGTTCTGTCCTGGCTCCTCTCCTTGCTCTTTACCTATTTTCCGCTTCTCTCCTTTCCGCGCTTCTCCCGACTCATTTCTGCTGCTAGTCTTTTTGCTGTTGTTCTTCTTCCTGCGCGGGCTGTTTCACCCGCATCACACATCCACGGAGGGGATGGCGCGGGTCGTGCCAGCAACCTGTGCATTTTTGAAGCGCGCCAAATGTTGAAACTGGTCCAGCGCCCCTACTGCTGGGGGTTTGTTGGGCTCCCTTCCCCGGCCATTGTGCGGGAGCCGTAGCTGGTGACCCCCACTTTGTAATGGTTTCCTTTCAAGAATGGCCAGCAAATTGCTCGTTACACGCATTGGCCCTGAGCCGCCGTCCTCTGCGTCAATGGTTGCTTTGAGGGCACCCGTTGCTGGATTAGTTTCATGGGAAGCAACGAGGGAAGCCGAAGCCCGTTTTTCGGGGCAAAGCACTTGTTTTAACCACCAACCCCTGGGCCCCGTCAAAGAGGAGCCAGAAAGAGGTCATCTAAACAATAGTTGTTGAAGTTGTTGAACTACGGGTTGAATTGCCCAACTCCTTCAACCGCCAAGGAGTAAGTCTGCCCGAGTGGGAGCTCTACGCCACGAAGCTGGCCACCATCTTGGGGGAGACGAGGTGCCGCGTCGCCACCGAGCGGGTCCTGGGCTCCCGCAAGGCTGAGAACCGCCGGAAGGTGAAGCACGCGCCTCGCATTCCCAGGTCCTTAGTGGGCGAGTGCTTTTTGGAGCTAGCGCTCTTTCAAGCCAAAAGGAAAGATGGGGATTATTGTGGGGTTTTTCCTATGTTGACACCAGTGAGTGTTCAACCAGCTTGGCGCATAGGTGGTAACTGGGGTGCCCGGAAACCATGGTTGCAACATGCTTAGAAAGTGGCATGAACACCCAAGTGGGGCTGCCCATGACTTGCTTGGCTTGCTGTGTACCGTTTTGGATTGTTTTAAGAGGCAGCCAAAGGGATGGCACTTCAGTGTTTCTGGATGGGAGTCACAGGGTTCCACAATTCCAGCTTTTTCCGCTTATTCCTTGCTGGGCACATGCCCTACCTCCCACACCAATTGCGAAGTCATCGGGCCCGCTGAAATGGACCTTTTCAAACGTGGCATATCTGTGCCATCGCGTATGCCAGGATAGCGCTTGCGAGGATAGGGCGATTCTGATGTTGACACTGCCCGATCGCGGCTCACAAGCGAGGTGTTCATCTTCGAGGGCTACGAGGCACAAGCTTCCGTCCGTTTGCTGGAGGTGTGCTCGAAAGGCCACAAAAACGCGAGTTGCTTGGATGCAATCGGTGCGTGCCATGAACTCATTTGTAATTCAGATGGAGGGCTCATGTGTGTGTGTGTGTGTGTGTGTGTGCGTTCCCGCTGAGGCTTAGTGGAAGATATCCGGGTAGCCCTGGCCGCCAGAGCCGATCCAAATGCTGGCCTTGCAACTTGCCTCAAGATACCTACACCAGCTTGTGGTGCCGCGCGCTGCTTGACCATATGAGCCGCTCGACTTGCAGACGTCTCAGGCAAGTCCAGCCTTCAACGACTACACGCCCCTCATCTTTCTGGCCAGCGCTCCTCCCTCCGCCAACGGCTCGCAAGTCGAGGAGTCGGGCCTGCGGGGAGGGAAGGATGGCGGGATGGGGCACGTTCTTTTTTTTTTTTCCCCCTCCTGGTTGACAAGTGGGAACGGAAGAATGTTACATGGTTGTTGTTGGGAAACATTTTACATTTTTGCTTATTGTGGTTTAGTGGTTGAAATCCCCACTTAACTGCTAAAATTTAGACATTTTTGCTCTCCTTCCAACGTCAACCAAGGTTAGGGGGCATTTCATTCGACTCACCGGGCTCGAGCCATGGCCTGCAGGAGGCCATGGAGCTGCTGATCCAGGCGCGGGCGGACGTGCACCGGGAGTGCGGGCCCATGATCAGCGGGCGCCTGGTGCCCCTGCGCTTCGCCGCCCGGGCTCAGCGGCTCGGCAACTGTGAGGTGGGGTGGGGGGGTGGGGGGTATGGTGGACAGGAGCAAAAAGACTGCTTTTGCAGCAGCTGGTTTTTGCGATGTGAGGGGTGTCCTTAGGGTTTGGGCCTGCGACAAACACCCCTCTTGAGGGGGGAATTGACCTACGGGCAATTGACTGGGTCGAGGCACAACAAGGAGGTAGCAACAGGAGGAGAAAAACAAGATCCTCAACAGCTTTTTGCGGGGTAAAGGAGCTAAGGGAATCTTCCAATCAGGTTCTATATTGGTGGGAGGGTACGCCAAGAAACTTTGGCACCAAAAACAGGCAACCGTTGGAACTCCGAGGAATGCCTTCGGGCTGAAAGTGCTGCAGAAGCACGTGGACCTGGGGGACGCCTTCCAATGGGCGGCAGGGGAGAATGCGGAGGGGATCATGCTCTCCGAGCTGCGGAAGCTTCATGGGCCAACCCTGGCAGAGCACATCGAGGCAGACGGGGAGGGGCGGTTTTTCAGGGAAGGGGGGGGGTCGAACAGGCAAGATTCGAAGCTCAGGCGTTTTGTTGTTCCCCGCCCGTGGCAGCGGCGTAAAACATGATGAATCCAGGTCAAAACCCAAAGGAAAACAAGTCGGTATGTCAAGAACAGAAGCAAACAGAGGCGTCGCAGGAGAATCACGTACCGAAAATCAAAGGTTGTACCACCTGAGTGACCCCTGGAGCATACCCCTTAAGGATAAGCCAAACATCAGAGTAAATACCTGCAAGTAAACTAAGTCTAAGAAAAGGAGCTGTCATATTTCTTCTTCTGGGGTTTGGTCTGGGGTCGGTCGGGGAAGCGTTTGAGAAAAGAAGCAAAGATCCCGGACAACCTTCTACAACCCAGTCGCGTCACATGATTGAAAACCCCTGGGTTTTGGGTTTACAGGGGAGGTTAATCCCAGGAGTTTTGACCATGGCGCATGTGGTCGGCTCGTGTAGGACATGAATGACTTCAGCCACGCGGCCAGCGCACAGCTGCGGCTCTTCGCATCCCCCATCTTTCCCGGTGGCTTGAGGCCAGGCTGATCACCTGTATGCGCTTCTCAAAAATGGGGGGGGGTTCCTGCTAAACTGGTTGGTTTCCTTCTGGTCTGCGTTCAAATCAAGGGCGGGGCGGGGTACACCATGTTGAGAACCTCTCCTATGTTAGGTCTTTGAAGCCCCCCCCTGGGGTTTCAATCGGCGGGGCGGGGTACACCATGTTGAGAACCTCTCCTATGTTAGGTCTTTGAAGCCCCCCCCTGGGGTTTCAATCGGTGGGGCCTAATGATGGAATGTAACGGGCGGCGGTTAAACGTCACCGGGGTTGTTATTCTTTGCTGGGGTCACGCGCAGTGTAGCTAGGGCCTGGACTCAAGCAGCCCATGCCGTAAGGCAAGCTGAAGGAAGCAGTTGATGCAATAAATTGCAACCAGCGGTAGGCAGATGTCGGTCCATGCGAAAGGGTATGCCTCAAGCAAACAGCCGGGAATTGACGGACGGCTAGGGCTCCATTGGCTTGGCACGAGCTGTCCCACTTGGTCCGAAGTTGACACGTAAATTGTCACGACTGTTCCATCAGCACACACCCAGCTCATGCAGACGTCAGATGCTCCACACGCGAAAACGCCTCCGCGTTCCTTTCACGGATCGGCCTAGGGCCTCCGGGGCGCTCTCCTTGTGCAAGGGCACCTACGACGACGGCCACGTGCGCCGGGGCCAGCGGGCGGATCCTAACTCCCCAGGGCTGGAGGCAGGGGACCAAGGCCCTCGACTGAGGAAGGTGGGCCTTGCTAGGGCCTTGCTAGGGCCTAGGGCGCTCACTAGGCTTGGGCGAGTCGCCGAGTTTTGCCGCTGGGTTGCAAGGGCATGACGGCGCTGATGCACATGATCATCGACGGCAACGTGCCGGCGCCTGGGCCAAGGTTTGGGATCATCTTAAGGAGAAATCATGTTGCCGAGATAGGCAACATTCCCAAACACGGCCATATACTTGCTTGGTCGCAGTTCGCTGAACCTCTGCGAATCTGGGTGAAACCTCAAACCAACCAAATGCTGGTTCGTGAGGGCACCCACCGTGGCTCATTTGGAGCCCAATCCAACCAACCCTTGACCCAACCATCCCTCTGACTTTTGGCCCAGGTGATCCAGACGCTTCTGGACTGCCAAGCCACCTTGGACCAGCGGGACTCCAGCGGCGCCACGCCTCTCCACTTCGCCGCGCTGCACGCGCAGGCGGGGACTTTGGGGGGGAAGAGGTCGACATGGGAGCCGGGGATTGGTTTTGCGTTGGGTGCTGACATGTTTTCTTTTTTTTGGCCGTCCCAAGAAGGCAAGGGCTTCCACCCAGCTGAATGGCAATGTGTCCTTGCAATGTCTTGGTCCTTGGTTACACGCTTTTCACCCGTGATGCGATGGAACCCAACCATTTGTAGAGGCCTCGGACCTCCCCCCTTTCCGAGCCGTTTTGGTTCTCACCTTGAAATTTTGGACCAACTTTCAGGTGCAGGTGGTGAAGCTCTTGCTGGACCGCGGGGCCGAGCCCAGCCACGTGGACTACGCCGGGTTCAGCCCCTGGATGGTGGTGGGGGAGGCCGGTGGAATATGCTTTTTCTCACAGAAACACGGGTATAGTACGGGTACACTGTTCTCAAAATGACTTGGGGGGTCCCTTCACACAACCATTTGGAGGGGCAAGTCTGAGGCTGCTACTTTGATGGCGCGAGCAGTACCAAAAAGAACCAAATTACACCAGAAGCAAAGAGCATTTCAAATTTTCATGGTACCCCAACTAAGCATGCCACTCCGATTTCCAGGCCGATTGTGAAGTTGTCGTCATTTGGGTGCAAATTCTTTCGGGGGAAGTTTCGGCTTGCGGATGGCGACGAGCTGACCTGGAGGCCACCTGCTTCGAGAAGCAGGGCCTGGCGGTCAGCTCGCGGTCCGCCAGTGAGAGGGCAGAGGACTCGGCGAGGGTAGGTTGGGAGGAGGTGAGGCCAAGCGGTGGGCACACCAACACACATACATACATGCATGCATGCATACAGACACATACATACAGACATACATACATACATACATACATACATACATACATACATACATACATACATACATACATACATACATACATACATACATACATACATACATACATGCATACATACATACTTACATACATACATACATACATACATACATACATACATACATCTATATACATTATGTATGTCAGATACACAGATACACACACACACATATATATATATACATGTATATATATATATTGTATAGTTCCTGTTATGATTATTCTAGTTTAGTATTATTATTAACATTTGTGGAGTCCCTGGAGGGGGGGGTGCGGGTGCTTATTTGCTTTCCTCGGGAGACAGCATGACTCCCTTCCTTGGAGTTCCTTGGCAGAGAGGTGCCCCCAAACCTACCACACCGAAACCAATGCATGGCACATAGGGGGTACACATGCCAAGGCGGTGCCAGGGGTACCTATGCAGGGGTGCCTGGTTGCCTGGTTGAGCCTTAGAGCTTTGTGCTCGCCCGGTCGTGGGCGTCGTCCCTCCAATGCCTTCAGTTGATTGCATTTCGTGGGAGTTTGGCGCTGCATATTCCCTATTGTCCGAGAATAGGACATCCGGGAGTGCCTGGAGCTTCTGAAGCCAGCTTCCTCGCCAGAAGAGCTGATCAGGGCCGAGAGCCCTGAGGCCTTGCTGGCGCTGGCCGAGGGGAAGGACGGGTCGTCTCCAACATGGTGAAGTACACAAGCATGTTTTTCTGGAGGGTTGCCTTGCTTGGGTGGGCGCAACAGAAAAGAAGCAAAAGGAGAACCACAATTTTGGGGTCCTCTTTCTGAACATACCCCGAGATGACCGCAACCCGATAAGGGACCAACAGAATCCGAAACCTCCCCAATCTGCAAAGCTGAAAGGGGACCATCAAGAACTGACGATATTTTCCGGTGCTCATATGACCAGGTTAAAGGCTACCTCGAGTTGCTGAGAGCAGGGAAGCCTCATGCTGAACATTGCAGAATCGCCGGCTTGTAATTGTTTGGCTTGCATTCGAGCACCCCAGATTGTTTGAACTCATGGGCGGGTTTTATTCCAGAGCCTCCAAAAATGGCTGGTGTTCTTTTGGGTCCCCCTGCCATCAAGTCCTTCGGGTCCAAAAAAGAGGGCAATTCGGCCACAGGAGGGCGCGCCGATGACCCTGGAGCTCCTGCAGCGGAAGTTCCGGCTCCACGCGGCTCGGAGCGACGGAAGGCCGTTGGACCCGTAGGCCCCAAGGATAGGCACCCGCCCGTAGGCTTGGTGGCGCTGGTGCCGGGATTTTTTTGCGGCCAGCAGGTTTTTTAAACCAGAGGCGTGGACGCAGGCTTGCGTCCTTTCCAGATTTCAGCGTTGCTGGAGGCCTCCAATACCTGGCTCCCGTAACTTGGCATTTTAAGATTATTCGACACCTTTCAACCAACTTGTTAAGGAGCAGCTCCAGTGGATGATGCAGCCGCAATCGAAGCCCACTAACCTTCATGGGTGCGCCCGCCCTTTCAATTCTTTATACTGTTGTGAGTAGCGCAATCTGTTGGCACACAATGATGGAAACCAACAATATGGGGTGGGTGACGCTTGCGGGGACGAGCTTCCCATAGGCATATGTCAATCTTCCACACAGGGTGCCTCGTTTACTTTGTAGATGGCCGACAAAAAGCCAGCACGTTTGGGGGTCAGAGGGCATACCCCGTGCAACCAGTCAGAAGAGAGGCCAGACGCTGCCAAGGAGAGCCTCTTCTTCAACCCCCGGATGGCCATCTCCGGCGCCTTCGAGGGCCGGACGCCTCTGAACCACTTCCTGGAGAAGTGGGCGGGGCTGATGATCCACCTGCTGCAGCAGGACCCTTTGGAGGGCGACCAGAAGGCGAGAAGCCCAGAAGCCCTCGCCATGGGATTCCGGGAGCCCTCGCCATGGGATGCCTTGAGCTTGGAGATCTGGTGGAAGTTGAGGCGTTTCACTTTCGTTTTCGGCATGGAAGGCCACCATGAATGCTTTTTCCCAGGTGCTCGCCAAGTTCCTGCTGAATGCCACCAAGGGCCCGGACAGCCAGGGCACCTGCGGGCACATCCACAAGGCGTGTTTAGGTTTTCCTTGCAAAAACGAGGCATGGTAACCCACCAGGGCCCCAGGTTCCTCCTTCAACGTGCCCAGACTTGTTCTTGATGGGGATGGTCTGGGGAGGTGTCGAAACAGATCGGCTGCTCCAGCCAAAGTCAACCCATTCCTCCTGAGGCATGGCAGCAGGACGACAACCGGGCGTCCTACCGGGCCCGCCTCATGGATGCGGTGCAGAAACAGCTGGAGTTCTACGCCACCTGCTGCAACGCCATGCGCCAGGAGGTGCCGCGAGTGTTGGGAATGGCCCCGAACTGAACCATCCAACCGGTGGCTTCGTTTGAGGAGATCCCTAGACACAAAAATACCCTCTTGTTTTCCCCTACTTGGACTCCAGCAGGATTTCGGGGATCCGCAGACCTCCGTTCTGAAGTGGGCTTGCAATTGTCTAGTTCCATATGGTCGACCCTGTGCTATGATTCAACATCTGTTTGAAGAGGGAGGTGGCAAAACTCGTGCTTTTTTACGACTGATCGTGCGTTTTGGAACGGATCTTTCCGGCTTCCCACTAGGCCGGTGGCCTGTAGCCCATGCTTGGAGTATTTTCCCCGATGAACTTGCCCGCAAAAGGAACACAACCAACACGGACATCTGGTAAGGTCTTAAAAGGAAGGGTGATCTGGCGACAGAGGAAAAAACCCCTGCGTTCCACATGCCCAGATGATCTATCCGGACCTCAGGTCGAATCTGCTGCTGTGGCGGAGACCATCGCCTTGGTGGGCTGCAGTTTGCTTGAAACCTCGGGTCCGCCGAGCCCAATGAACGAGGCCGAGGCAGGTCGCGCTTTGCTGGGGATGGGTTTTTCCGACAAAAAATGGGAGTTGCGGCGGCCCAACCCCAACGCATCAGAGCCGCCAAGCCCCTTTTCCAGGATTCCCTCCCTTCTTTTCACTTTTGTTTTTGGTTTTGGGGTGGAAGCGCCAAGTCCCAGCCGGAGGCGAGGCTACCGCCGGAGAAGACGCTGGTGGCGTGCTCGGAGCTGCTGTCGCTGGCCAAAGACAGCGTCACGATTCCGCAGTCTTGGCAGGACCCAGGGCCTCGGCTTCAGTCCACTTTTTGGCCACCCCAAGATAGACTTAAATTCAGGGGTTCTCCTTTGGGGGGAATGAACCATCCCTGGGTTGAAGTCTACCCTGGATAAGTCAAAAAGTAAAAGCCTGCAGGGCTTTGGTTGTGCCTCACCGAGGGATCTCTTTTTGATACACTTGCTCTGAAGCAAAAAGGAATGCTAAAGATGTGACTTGAGGGATTCAATGGGAGATTTGGAGGATTATGTTGGGTTCTGGATTTTCAGCTTTGCCCTGCCACCAAGAAACGGTCGGTTCTTTTGGTTCTCCCTGAGCCAAATGTACGAAGCTGGATCTTAGGCTCTTAGGGTTTAGGGTCCGGTTCCTGCAGGAGGATCCCTTCTGGCAGAAGGTGCAGGAGCGCCAAGTCCTGCGCTACGACCCCCAGTGGGCCCAAGACATCCACGACGGGGCGAGCGGATTTCTGCAGCTGCTGCGGCTGGGCGCTCCCCAGGATGCCTCCGCAAGCCTGGTCCATGACGACGCGTGTGCTGTGCGCCTTGGCTGCTAGGTGGGTTGATTTGGTTTGGCGTTGTTTGGTTTGGTTTGTTTGGTTGTTGGTTGATTTTGGTGTTGCATTTGTTTTTGTTGGTTTTGCATTTGTTTTTGTTAGTTTTGCTGTTTTGGTTGGTTGGTCGTTCGTTTTTCTTTTTTTGGTGGTTTGGTCGGTAGTTGGTTTGTTTTGGTTTTGGTTTTGTTTTTGTTTTTTTTGGTGATTGTTGGTTGGATGGTTTGGTTTGTTCTGATTTTGGTTTGCTTGGTTGGTGGTTGGTTAGGGAAATCCGCTACAATAGGAAGGGCGGCACGCTTACACTTAGTGGACACCCTGTGGGGTCCTTCACTTTAGAGAAGCACCCCCCCCCTAACAAATGACTGTTTGTTGGGCATGTTAATCTGCAGGGGAGTAAGAGCAGCTGCAAACAAGGATAGGCTGAAGCTGCCCCGCCTGTAAGGTCGTCCATTGCAGATTACAGCCGGCTCCGGCAAGTAAAGCACGCGCAAATGAAAGAGCTCTATGCGAGAGGGTATGTGACATACTCGAACCTATGCAACGAAGCCTTTCAGGACATGCGTTCTGCTTTGCCCACGTTGAGGCATTCAGGCTTTGAGTGGCAATTTGAGTGGGACGGTTGCATTGATTCATGAAAAAATGCCAGGACAAGATGAAAGAAGTGGTGGCTCGGGCCAGGGACGGCGCTCAAGTCTCTGTTGGCATGCCAAGTTCGTACGTGGCTGCCAAGCGCGCGGGTCTCAGTTCGTGCCGTCGATTTCGCCGCGGTCCTCGATTTCGGGGGCTTTAGACCGCGCACGCGAGGTCTGCAGCGAATCCTGGAGAAGACCCTGGAAGCAGAGCAAGAGCGTGCCGGATGGGATTGGCCGCAAAGAGAGGACTCGTACGTGCGTCACACTTATTGCTTCTACATCTTGGACACGGTTCGAATGAGCTTTGTGTGTCAAGGCCGAAAGAGTCCCATCCAGATGAATACCCTCCAAGATTCATAGAGAATCCGTCTGAGCACCATTCCCAGCGGGGGCGGCTTGGGTTTCCGAAATTGGCTGGCCGAAGGCACGAAGGCCTGCCCTGGCAGGTGACACCGTGCCCCAGCAGGTTCACAGCTGCATGAGCGTTCTCAAGGCGTTTCAGGGCTGCTCCGTCGAGACCGACGGCGTGCAACTCCTGCGCACTAAGCTCCTCGGCACAGGTAGGAGAGCATGCACAATTCATATGAAATCTCCCTGTTTTTTGGTGGCTATACATTATATATATATATATATATGTGCCAATTCAACTCTTGGACAGGCGAGTCTTCTTTAGGTGTTGTGATGTTTCAGGGAGAGAATGCTGGGAAGCGTGGACACAGAGACACGTTCCCTGCAGGTCAGTTTTGCACGCAGAGAAGGTTCCACTCATAATTTGACGAAAACAAATGCCCTGTGGCAGACAAAGCCCTGAACACGACTCCCTCGGTAGACAACTACGGAGCAGATGATTTGCTTTGCAAACGCGACGTGAGATTCAGACAAACTAATTCTATTGAGATGATGGCAGAATGCGAAGTACGAACTCCTTTGTACATCGCATTGCTTGAACACAGCATGGTCTCCTCAGAATATGTTGTCAGAGCGAGTCGCCGCTGGCAGAGTAGGGACATTGGGCAAGGTGGCTTCGCTAAAGGCTTCGGGTGTCAGAATGCTTTGTCTGGTAAATCGTGCGCTGTCAAACTGAATATGATTCGTGAATAACTTGCAGGTTTTTGTGTGCACCGCGATGATTTCTCGCGTCTTCAGGTCGGGCTTTGCTTCTGGCGCAGTGGGCGAAGGTGGTTACGCGGATGTGAAGCTTCTCTGCTATACCGACCTGGGTGTGCACACTGCTTTCGATGGGACGGCCGCTTGGCCAACCAACAGACTAATTAGCCTCAGCAGTAGGGACCATTTGCAGCCGCAGTCTGTGAGGGGGCAGGGGTGGCTTGATAGACGGCGCAGCTCAGGAGATCCCCCTGAGGATCATCGGCGAGGTGCAGCTGATTCTGGAAGGCTATGAGGCGGTGAAGAAACGAATGCATTTGGTCTACGAGGTGAACCGTGGTAGCTTTGATAGGAAACGCCGACGGTAAGGAATGTAGCAATGCTGGGGGCTGCATCCCCCAATCGGCAGCCGTCCGGATGCTGCAGGGCCTCCAAGCTCCTCGAAGAGGACTTGGATTTCAGGCGTAGCGTTGCGTACACCAAAGTGTGACGACAAAACCTTAGCTGCGACCGCAAAGCGGCCAAATGCGCAAGTGCCCCCTGCTCAGGCTGTTGCAAGCTGCCTTGCAGCATGAGGCATCATTTCCCAGCACGCACAATCAACCTGTGACTGTGCTGCTGCAGATTCACCATGTTGCGGCGTTGCAAACTTTTGCCTTTGACCAGGACGGTAGCCTCGGATTTTGGGCGTGTTTCAGGGAGCCATGGCAGAGCTGCCACGGCAAGTGGATGTTAG